TTTTACATTTAGGATTTTTAGAGATATTAAGGTTTTTACTTTTAGGAAAACTTGTTTACAAAATCGGTTTGGTTAATTGGTTTAAAATTACCTTTGAACCATTACCCGAACTAGTTATCCGGTTTGGTTAATTTTGAAAATTGAAACTGAACCAATTACTTTGAAAAATCGGTTTTTGGGATTGGTTTACGTTCAGTTTGGTTCGATTTTTTATTTTACTTGTGGGGCTGCTATTTGGGTTTTATTGCGTTTTGAATTTGTATTGAAGTGGTTAAGTTCCTGGTCTCCGTATGGGTTTTATTTATTCTTTTGGGTTGAATGATGTTTGTTGTTTCTAGGATTTAGCAATTTGTGGGGTTTAGAATAAGTTTCGATCCTATTGATTATTAAAGTATCGACAAAACTGAAGGTTGGATAGTTGACGATGAAGAGGAGGTCAATGAACTTAATTATGAGGAGTTGGAACAAATATTATATGGAGAATGATCCATTCTTACTGGAGTTGCTGATCACCCTTCTTTTTATGATTCAATCGATGGTTCAGAAGGTTGGTTTCAAATATTTAAGCAACTTAATATCTATTTAAATTAAATTACAAGTTTTAACTTATGATTTCTATTTTTTACTGAAATTTACGCAGATGATGGTGATGAATTTTGATTTTAGTGTGTGAGGCTCAATCAACATGGAGACGGATCAAAGAAAAAACACTTGCACCAAATGTTTTGTTATTAATTATTATGTATTTTGTCATTTAATATGTAATAGATGAATACAACATCATGTTTAGATTTGGACTTTGGATTGTTGTTAAATACTTAAATTATGCTGGGATTGTTATTGAATTTGAACTTTGAATCATGTTAGACAATAATTAAGTTGTTATTATCTTATTAAAAAAAAAAAAAAACAGGTTTCTTTTAATGTGCTAACATCTTCATGCTATGTGATGATGTCATCAATCCAACCGGTTGGACCGATTGAACCGTGACTCGGGCAGCAAAATGGGTTACCCTCTGGTCCGGGTTTTAAAACAATGCTAAAAACTACATCAAATTAGTAAATTGAAACTAATATTTTTTAAGAAAACTCTTTTGAGTGCCTTTTTAGAATACTTTTTAAATTGTTTCTTTAAAATTTGTTTTTTTTTTTCTCAAAAACAGTGTTATGAAAACCAGACCAAACCGACCGATCGGACTGTTCGGATTGGTGACTGACACCCTCTCCAATCCGATTTAGATTGTAAGGGTGTTTTTGTTGAATTTCAAACATGTAGGGACTAATTGAAATTTTAAGGGTGTTTTGTGAAATTCAAACCTACAGGAAGTTATTGTAGACTTGGCAAAACAGACGGTTGGGCTGGGTACAGGTCCAAAACTAGTCAAGAATATTGATTCGAACCTTACCCTATGCGGGTACAGGTAGACCCGTGAGTACCTGTATTGTTCACTCTAATTTCCACTTTTTACAGTTACACCCCCAAAATTCTTACAGTTTTCATTTTTTACAATTATACCCATTACTATTCACTACAATTTTCTATTAAAATCACACGGTGTGTCCTTCCCCTTGGATGCATCTTCAGAGCAAATTGCATATATGAAATAAGCAATTAAATCTTCGATCTCAATAATGGAAATGTCAATATACATAAAGATATATCAGAACTAATCATCAAAAAGACAAAAGTATATCTAATTTAAAACACCTATGAGCATCTGTTGAACTAATTAAATAATCATCAACAAAATTTAAACATGAATCCATTTACCAACTAGAATCAGCTAGAATCAACTCATATTCATTCCACATATCTTAATTTACTATAAATCCACACACACCACTGAATTGAGAAGTGTAACAAATAAAAAAGTTAAGATAACTGAAATGAGCAATTAATCCTCTAATATGGAACTCCACTACCACTGTCAATTCTTAATAGGTTAGTGAGAGAAAATGCTCTCTCTTCTCTCTAGGATTAGTGAAACAGCCCACCTTCCATCCTTTTTCCCCTCCACCCACCTCTCATCTCTCCACCTTCATCACCCATCCTCCACCTTTACCAGTAAACACCTCCTTCTCATCTAACCACCATCCTCCATCTTTTTTGTTTTTTTTTTTTTTTCGTTTTTCGTTTTTCCGGTTTGTATTGTTGCTGCTTGGTCTGGTTGGTTTGGGTGCTATTGTGTGGTGTAGGTTGGTGTTGGGAGTGTTGTTGGTCGGAGTTGGGCTTGCTTGGCCTGAGTTTCATCCTGCTGACCTGAAGCTTTTTAGTTTTGTTTGGGAGAGTTGGACGTCCTTGCTTGTTGTTTGCTGGGGTGTTGCTTTGGGGTTGGTTGTGTTTGTCACCGGAGCTTGTAGTTGTGCTGCCGGAGTTTGGTTTTTCTTGTTGGCCGGAGCTTGTAGTTGTGCTGCCGGAGTTTGGTTCATCTTGTTGGCTGGAGCTTTTCTGGTGTGGCTGGTCCTTGTTTCCTTTTCAAGAATGTGAGTGTGGTTGTTTGTTTGAATTCTTTCCCCTTTTATCTTTGGCTAAGATTCTCCTTTTCTCCTATTGGCTTGGTGGATTTTGCTTTATCCATTTCCTTCGGACTGGTTAATAGCAAGTTCCATAAGTGATTTTCCTTCCACCTCACCTATTCCTATTGGTTATTGTGATTGCCTTTATCCCTTATCAAACAAATCCACACAGCATCCTATCCTTACACTTGTTATGCCACCTCACTGCCTTGTCATCCCTCATCCCCTCACGTGTGCCATGTCACCCTAGATGCCACACAACCCGAGGTGCCATGTCATCAGGTGAGAAAAAAAAATTTCAATTTTTTTTGCTACCTCTGCTCCTTGCCACCTATGGGGGCTGTTGAATGTGGGAAAAGTTGTGGTTTGAGTGAGCAGTATCCAAACATTGAAGAAAAGAAAATTGAAAGTGTTAGGAATGGTGCTTTGGTGCCTACTAAAGTCTTGAAAGGGGCCACCATTTCTAATAGAGAGTTTGTCCAAGTCCGGTTGCTGAAACCTATTAATGGAGAGAATTCCGAATTTGAAGAAGGTGAAATTATTTGGGTGGATAGAGGAGCTGTTTGTGCTGAATCCAAGAGTGCTTTGGAGGGTACCCATGTTTCTTCTAGGGTAGGTGAAAATGGGCAGCACACAATCTGCCATGGTGTGGATAAGGGCCGTGAGGTTGTAAGGCCACCTATTGCTATAGAAAAATCAGGCCGGAATGATGTGTCATTGGTTAAAGGTGAGTTCAATCCGAAGCTAGGGAGTTGCTCTGATGGAAAGGGGAGATTTTATGAAATTGTGGCAGCGAAGGTTGATGAGATTTCTATGGATTACCCCCCTCTCCCAAGCAAAGTGGTGGATGGAGTGATTAGAATTAAGAAGCCAAATGGTTGTGTTGATCAAAAACAGGTGAAATGGGAGGAAAAAGGAGCTTGGACAAGTGTTCTTGTCTCAAAGAGGTCTGATATTTCCCTTGAATATGTCAAACCAAATATGAGCAAGGAAGATGGTAAGTTTAGAATTTCAATCCCTACTGAAATTGCGGCTTTAGGAATAGACAAATTGAGTAATTGTCCAGTCGGGTTTTTCCTTGGGAAGAAATTGCCATTTTACCAAGTAAAGAGCTATGTTGATAGAAATTGGAGTCGTTTTTGAGCTGTGGGGGTCACTTCATATGGGCATGGGGGCTATTTGCTCAAGTTCCCAGATGAGGTTACTAAAATGGATGTGCTAGAGGGTGGTCCATGGTTCATAGGAGGGCAGCCTTTCTTTTTTGAAGTTATGGACTCCTAATTTGTCGTTGGGCATGAATGAGATTACAAGGGTACCCATATGGGCGAAATTCTATGGTATCCCTCTTGAGTTATGGACCCCCAAGGGTTTAAACCATATAGCAAGTGTAATAGGCACCCCTCTTTATATGGACAATATTACCGAGTCGAGTGAAAGGCTTGAGTCTGCTAAAGTGTGCATTGAGATGGATTCTTCAACCGAGTTTAAGGAGGAATTTGAGCTAGAGATGTCGAGTGGTGAGATTGCATTAATAAGGTGGAGTATGCATGAAGCCATTTACCTGTGCTTGGTGCAAAACATTTGGACATATCCAAAGAAACTGTCATTGGGCTCCTAAGGAAACCGAACCGTTGTTATCCAAAGAGCCGACTTCTCCTCATGTGCAAGAATGGAGACAAGTTGCTAGCAAGAAGAATATAAGTGTCCCTCGAGAAGTAAGTCAGCAAAGGGTAGAGGGAAAAAAGGAAGGTGAGGCCCCTAAACCTTGTGAGAGTGTGAACCAATTTGTGGTGCTATCCGAAGAGGGTGAGGAAAAGAGAGATGTTGCTGATGGGGAGGAAAGGAAGAGAGGGAATGGTATTGAGGAAAGGCTGGAAAGTGAAACAAAGTTGGGTAGAGCGGTTTTGGGGGAGGAAGCTGCGAATGCCAATGAGGATAGAGAGGAGAGAACTCCGACTACCAATGCTGTTTTCTTGAATACATTTGAGGACAGTGACATGGGAACTAGCTCTCCAATTTATCAACCGTTTGGGAACCTAGTACGCGTGGATGAAAAAGAAAGATTGGAGAAGGAAAAGGGAAGTCTTTCTAAGAGTAAAAGGAAGAAACTTGCGAAGAAGGCGAAAACTCCACCGAAGCTACCTCATAGCCATGGTTAAAGTTGTCGTGTGGAATGTTAGGGGGCTTAATTCCCCCATTAAACAAAAAGAGGTAATGAATCTTATTAGTAGCAATAATTTAAGTTTATGTGCTGTTTGGAGACTAGGGTTAGGGAGAATAATATGGATGTTGTTAGGAAAATGGTGTTCTGCAATTGGGCAATGGTTGAGAACTATTGTTTTTGTGAAAGGGGGAGAATTTGAGTGGGTTGGGATGGAGATATTTTGCATGTGCATGTTATCCAAACTTCAGCTGAAGCAATTCTTTGTAAGGTTAGAATTTTGAAAGATAATTCCATGCTCTTTTGTTCTATTGTCTATGGGATGAATAATGTGGGGAAAAGGAAGGAGCTATGGAAGGAGCTTATCCACCATGCCAATGTTAGCCACTGTGAGCCATGGGGTATTATAGGCGACTTTAATGTGGTTAGATTTGCGGGGGAAAAGAAGGGAGGTTCTAATCAATGGAATTCGCAATGTGAAGAGTTTAATGACATGTGTAAGGAAGCTGATATTGATGATCTTAATTCCATTGGGTCATTCTTCACTTGGAATAACAGAGGAGAGCTCAATAGGAGGATTTGGTGCAAACTTGATAAAGTGATGTGTAATGAGCATTGGAGCAACAGGTTTCCCAACTCTTTTACATCCTTCCTTACTCCGGGCATATTAGACCATTGTTCAATGGTGGTTGATAGTGGGCTGAACTTTCAAGGTAAGAAATCCCCTTTCAAGTTTTTCAACTTTTGGGCAGAGCATGAGGACTTTTTACCTATGGTGGAGAGAGAGTGGAGTGTGCAGGTGGAGGGTAACCCCATGTACAGGCTGGTCTCTAAGCTAAAAGCATTGAAGGTTGAGCTGAAGAGACTAAATAGAAAGGAGTTCTGGAACATTTCGGAAAGAGTGAAATTTGCAAGAGATGATCTAGCCCATGTTCAAGAAAGGCTTGTTGTGGATCCGATTGATGGTGCTCTTTTGCAAGAGGAGAAAGTTAAGGTGGAAAACATGGTCAAGCTTTCAAAAGCCGAAGAATCATTAGCCAAGCAAAAGTCTAGGGTTAAATGGTTAAGGGAAAGGGATGCTAACACTTCTTACTTCTTTAAATCGATTGCTGGATGGAGGAATAGAAATAAGATTGTGTCCTTGGAAATTGGGGAAGACTCGGTTACAAGTGATCAAGATAGAATCAAAGAGGAGTTTGTGTCTTTCTACTCAAATCTTTTCAAAGAAAAGTGTGCGGGTGTTTCCTATGAGGGCATGGAGGAACTTATCACCCCTGTTATTTTGGAGGAGGAGGCCAACTCCATGATTTGTGAGGTTTCCAAAGAAGAGATTCAAGAGATCATGTTTGGAATGAGTAAAGACAAAGCACCGGGGCTGGATGGTTACGGAGCTTTTTTCTTTAAAAAAAACTTGGGATATTGTAGGTTATGATGTTGTTAAAGCAATCCAAAATTTCTTCAAGTCTGGGAAGATGCTTAGAAAGGTGAATTGTGCCATTATTGCATTAGTCCCAAAGAATGAAAACCCCTCATCTTGTAGTGAGTTTCGGCTGATCTCATGTCGTAACACCATTTACAAATGCATCTCCAAGATTATGGCCAATAGAGTTAAAAGAGTTTTGCTGCAGTTCGTCAACAAAGCCCAAGGTGCCTTCGTGGGGGGGAGGAAAATTATGGATAATATCCTTTTGAGCCAAGAACTTCTCCACCACTATGACAGGAAGTCGGCCAAAGGGGCTAGATGTGCAATGAAGGTAGACCTTATGAAAGCTTATTATTCTGTAAGATGGGATTTCGTTATTAAAGCTCCAGAGCTTCTCGGGTTTCCTTTGAAGTTTATTGGGTGGGTAGAAGAGTGAATCAAAACTCCTAAATACTCTATAGCCGTTAATGGGGAATTAACCGGATTCTTTAGCGGTTCTAAAGGGCTTAGGCGGGGAGACCTTATCTCTCCCTATCTCTTTGTGATTGCCATGGAGGTGCTATCAAGACTTCTAAATAGAGCAACGGAGGAACCTTCTTTTAAGCACCATTGGAGGTGCAAAGAGTTAAACCTAACCCATCTTTGTTTTGCAGATGATTTAATGATCTTTTGCCATGCGGATGAAAACTCTCTTGGCATTGTCAAGAGAGCATTGGATCGTTTCATTTTTTGGGCGGGGTTAGAAGCAAACCCCTCAAAAAGCAACATTTTCTTCTCCGTGGTGGGTGAGGCGAGCAAACAAGCTCTTTTGTCGATCCTTGGGTATCAAGAAGGAAAGCTACCAATGAAGTATTTGGGTGTCCCTCTCATTACCAAAAAGCTTTCCCTTGCTGATTGCAAACCTTTGGTGGACAAAATCTTGGCTCGCATTCAATCTTGGCGGAGCAAATTCCTCTCTTATGCTGGTCGGGTAATTCTCATTAAAGCCATTCTTTTTAGCATTCAAGTTTATTGGTCATCTATTTTCGTGCTCCCTTTAAAGATCCTCAATGAAATTGATGCTAAGTTAAGGGCTTTCCTATGGTCTGGGAGTGACATGAAAACCTCAAAGGCCAAAGTTGCATGGGAAGAGATTTGTGTCCCTGTTGAAGAAGGCGGGTTGGGGATTGTGAGAGCTAAGGATTGGAATAAGGCAGCCATGATGAGACATGTTTGGAATCTTAATCAAGTACGTAGTGGCTTTGGATGGGCTGAGTGGATCAAAGCAACCTACTTGGCAAGGAAGAGCTTTTGGGAGATTCCTATACCTTCGGATGCTTCTTGGGCTTGGAAGAACATTTTGAAGCTTAGAATGGAAGCTAGAGAGCACATCAAAGTCATCATCGGAAATGGTCAAGCAACTTATGTTTGGTATGATAATTGGCACCCAAGAGGCCCTCTCAAGGATAGATATGGAAGCCGCTTTGTGTATGATTCGGAACTACATCATCTTGCTAAGGTGTGTGAGATTTGGAATGGGACAAGGTGGAGATGGCCAACGGCTAATTCTTGGGCTTTGATGGACATGAAGGATTCTATCGACTTTGATCCAAAGGAGGGCGAGGAAATGGTAATTTGGAAACCAAATGCATCCAGTAAATTCTCTATAAAATAGGCTTAAGAGGTTACTAATGTGCACCAAAACCAAGTGGAGTGGCATCACCTTGTATGGTTCCCAAAAGCTATTCCACGACACTCCATGATCACGTGGATGGCATGTAAGGATCAGCTTCAGACCAGGGACAAACTGATGAGGTATGGAATAGCTTCTAGCAATGCGTGTTGTTTTTGTAATCATGGGCAAGAAACGATTGATCATCTCTTTTTTGCTTGTCCTTTCACCCAAAGAATTTGGAATCCAATCCTTGAACTCTCTTCTCTTAGGTTTGTCACCCGACCTTGGAACGTTTATGTTGAGCACATAGCTAGTGGGTGGAGGAAGAAAAAGCTAAAGTACTCTTTAGGGAAGCTAAGTTTGGGAGCCACCGTTTACTCTATTTGGAGAGAGAGAAATAGCCGGATTTTTGGTGGGGAATGCAAGGATGCACATACTTTCTACAACTCCATCAAGAATGTGGTAAGGGAGAGGGCTATGAACCTTAGCAAGATCATAAAGAATACCTACAATAGAAGACTTGCCGAGAAATGAGGTCTCCCCATGTCTATTTTTAAAACATCCCATGGGAGGTAATTATATAGTTTGTATTTATGTGATGAGTTTTTTGTCGTGTAAGGGGATTTGGTTATATGACATCCCGACGGGTAATCGTGCTAGAAGAGGCTACTTTGACAATTGGAAGACTTGGGGTGTTGATCTAGTGCTTTGTTTTTGTGTCATTAAATGGTCGTACCTCGTTAATGTCCATGTTTATGGAATTCTTCTTGATAATGCTTATGCATATGGGTTTTGTGTTTTGATACTTTTGAACCTAACCCAGGGCATGTCCTGTAGTAGATGGGATTCATTGTATTCTTTAATCTCTGCTTGGTTCCATTCCTTTGACAAGCGGAATGGGAAAAAGAGAAGATTAGAGGTAGACTTAGATAGTATCATTCCTTTGCTCCTAACCCAGGGCTTGTCCTGAGGTAGGTTAACCAACTTTTAGGCCTTTTATACATTTTTTCCCCTTTCTATAAAAGCTTACTTACCCAAAAAAAAAAAAAAAAAAAAAAAAAAAAAAAAAAAAATCCTCTAATCTTGGTTATGGAAAATATGTACAGACAGATATAGAACTGATTAAAGCATATAAGTAAAGTTAATTTGAAACACTAGTGAACATCTATTTAATTAATTAAATAATTATAAAAAAAAAAAACACGAATCTACCCACTAAATTAAAATCAATTCATATTCATTCCACATTTATGTCAAAATAAATGAAAAATCTAACAAATAAGTAAATAAAGTTAAGATAACTAAAAGCTCATACAAATGAACTGTTCTCCTGAGTTTGGTTGCCATCCTCCAACATCGTAACAAAATGAAAAAGTAGTTTCAAAAAACATTTCACAGAAACAAAAACAAGCTGAGTTCGAGATAGAAAGAAGAACCTTCAGATGCGTCGACATCAATGGAAGGAACAATAGGAGGGATGAGCATGAACAAGAATCTACAGATAGTGTAAGCGAAAGCAAGGACGATCAACGGCCACCAAAACACCTTCGTCTGGATGGTTCTTGTCAAGGACTATCTGTGCTCTTAATTTCCTCAGAAGCATTAGATCTAGATCCATCTCTTTTTACTTTATATAGCGGAATAATTTCCCTAAAGAGTTTTATATCTATCATTTGTCTCTCTCAAAAGATATGTAGCTATTGGAGACAAAAGAAAGGCATTGTTGTGGGCATGTGTTTTACAACCATATTTGGGGTTTTGTAGTTAAAAAGAAACGAGGGAAATTCTTTACAATTTAGGAGAAACAATTTTCATCTTTATGGGAATAAAGTATATAATTCCTCAGAGTTCAAAGAAGTTCTCCTTTTCCTTTATTCATCAAACTTGGAAGCTTCAATAGCCTAGTCAAGGGCCTTTTTCAGATTTTCCAACTTGGGGACTTCTCTTGCATATAGATTCAGAGCTAATTTGTCTTTTTGAATCAGCTTTGGCACCCTAAAAGGTTTTTATGACAGCTTGTCTTTTTTCTTTTTTCCTGGTGGGCATCATGTTGTTTCTCTAATAATTTCCTTTTAGTTTACTACATGGATTCTTCTTTGTTTCTTAGCATACAAGAGGATGGAAGAACTCAGAAGCATGGGCATAAGATGTAGAAGTCTTTCCACCCAACATGAAGACCATAAATGAAAAATAAATACTACAGTAAACTAAAACAAATAAATCCATCTGCTTTCCCTGTTTAAAGCAAAAATGCATTGCTTTCCTTCGTACAAAGGATCCATAGTAAAGCAGCTTTCCATTTGTTTCAATAAACATTACTGATGTTAAAAACAGTGCTAGAGATGTGACAACTTCAAATAAAAGTTTGAGGAATGCCTATAAATCATTTCATCATGCCAAAACTGTAGCCTTTGCAATGAGAAAAGGATGAGAACTTCTTAAAATGCATGAAAAGAATTGGTTCTAAACCGCACCTTATGTCACTTCCAAGTAGTCAACCACAATAATCTTCTAGATGAACATGGTTCACAAAAATTCTTTTATTTATTTTTCTTATAAAAATTCATGTGTATGCACCCACATACATGGATCATATCCTGTTCCTCGACGCTCCTAGTAAAACTCCTTTGCTCACAAGAAAGTTGAAATAAAATAATAATGGTAGTGAAAATTAAAAACAAAAATTTTGTTCTCTAGAAATAATAAGAATAATAATTATAAACTGAAAAGAGACAAAAGAACCTAAGGAAATTTCAATCGTTTGGGCGCTTCAATGAATTACCTTGTCATCCATTTCATCCTTATTAACATTGCCTCCATCATCCTTCTTAACATTACCGCAGCATATATACATTTTGGACAAAATTAATAGTATGCACCTACATAGTAAAAACAAATTGTGAAAAACTATCAAAGTTGGAAAGTTTCTTCCAATTTAAAATAATTACAACAGAACCAACAGGAACACTAGCAAGAAATAAATCTCGAAAGATTGCCAAGGCTCTCCCTTCCTATTAAAAACATCAAGATAGATAATGTTTGATAAATCCTATTTTTATTTAATTTTTTACAGGATTTATCGTTTAAGTCTTTCAATTTTACATAAATTGGATATTTATTTGAGATTTTCCTTTTTTTTGGCAAGATTAAAAGGAGAAGAAGAAAAAAGAGAATTTCTCTAGAAGAGACGTCCAAGATGAATAGGAGATTAAAAGGGGAGCACTTTTGGAAGATAAGAAAAATCTCCTATTTTTGTGTAAAGGAAAAAATCATTTTTTTCCTCTTTCCCGTTTTATAAGAACAACTTTCGATATTTGGGGCATAACTTTTGCTACAAATATCCAAATCACGCGATTCTGATGGGGATGGAAAGCTAATTTAAAGGGCTACAATGCTTGTTTTGGGGACTTTTCGGAAATCAAAAAGCAAAGGGGAGAAAATCGCACTTCAAATCGATCGCCTAGAGGAGAACTCAAAATCATTGAAGATTTCTCTTGCACCATTCATTTGGGAGAAGTTGGAGCAGGAAGTTTTCTTGAGATTGAATCATCAAGAATCTAGTTTCTTCACTTTTACTTTTTTTGGGTAAGTAAGCTTTATAAACGAAAAGAAGGTTACAAAGTAACGCAAACGACAAAGGCACACACGCCCTTGTCTCAAGAGCACGCATGCTCAAATAAAAAAGGCACAGACTCCTACATAGGACCACGTAGGCTCGGAAACAAAGACACAAAAAGAGGCACAAATGCCCAAAGAGAGCATGCAGGCTCTACAATAAAGAA